TTTTTAGTTTTATTTTGTGTCGTTTTGTGTATAATGTGCTATGTATATTGTGTGTTGCAATGGTTGTGAACGTGAAGAATGAAGATGTTGTGATTTCGGATTTTTCTTTTGAACACATTTCAATTCCCTCGTCTAAAACTAACTTAGAAATATTCAAAGGCTTCGTGGGACAGTTGGGAGCCGGGAGGGCTTGTGTTAATCCTTGGTGATGAGACTTTTATATAGTAATCAAAATAGTTGAGTGAACCTGCTAGAACGGCTCGGTAAAGATCGGTTCGAGGGAATCCAAAAGCTGTACACTGGTGAAGATCGGTTCAAGGGAGTCCAATAGCTGTACAGTGTACAAGTTGACATAGCTAAGGCAGCTCGAAGGTCGGGGAGACCTAGGCACAAATACAAATTTTTTCAAAAAAATATTAATTATTTTTTTTTTAAAAAAATTAAAATTTAACTCAATTTTAATTCAATTTTAATTCAGTTTGCCATTTAGTGCTAAATTTCCTCATATGGCTGCAAAATTTACTTCTCTATGCACATTCCAGTCTTTTTGAACCATGCTATTGATGGCCTTAACCAGCTAGTCACGAGTCCCGATGCCTTCGGATGTTACGATATGCTATTGATGGCCTTAACCAGCTAGTCACGAGTCCCGATGCCTTCGGATGTTACGATGGCCATAACCAGTAGAGTCATGAGTCCCAACACCACCTTCGGGGTTACGAACCATAATGAGTCCCAACAACACCTTTTGAGTCATGAGTCCCAACACCACCTTTGGGTTACGAATTGTTGGGAATTTCGACCACACCGAAACTCCGTCCAAGATCCGCTGGAAATAATAAAACTGGAGAACACAAAGTTTAACGTGGAAAACCCTCTGTTAACGAAGAGGAAAAAACCACCAGGGCAACAAAGGCCGTAGAAAATCCACTATGTAAAAATTACACAATTTTTCTACACTCACTTGTACCCAAAATTACCCCACAGAATTTTCTATCCGTTAACCTTAACTCTCACTTTAAGGAATTTTTAACCAGAGATTAATTGTTAACACAATAACTCTGTGGGATGATTTTACATAAGAAGTAGCACTTTCTTATATAGGGGAAAACTCCCCTCCTTTCTCATCCCACTTCCGATGTGGGACAAAAGAGCAAAAACATAACAAACTCCACCTTGCGATTTTGACCCATTTGACAGCCACTATTCACTTTGATGAAATTTTTCATAGCTTTCGCTATCATGCTCCACCATAAAAGCATATCCACTCGGACTCGCATCCAAGCATTTCTTCGGCCCATGTCGAAATAACCTTGCTGAAACCTATGGTGCAACTTCCACGTTTGGCTTTCCTAGAAGTTCATCAGCCCTCGACACGC